TCTCTTGCATGAGGTCCATTTGTTGTTGCTTCACGGGATCATCAATCTTGAGTGCGAGAAGCTTCAGTGTCTCAATCACGGTAGCCAGTTGGTTATTAAGATCATTGACTTCTTCTTGAGTTTCCATTATAATCTTAGCTTTTCTCTTGCGAGCTATGGGTTTGTCGAAAAGTTGGACTTGTACGAAGAGGTTATCTTTGATTAACCGTCCTTCCTTTCTTGACCATGCGCTGTAAATTAAACCATTTTGCGTTTTAATTACTTGACTCGAATCAACTTGACTTTATGGTTTATTTTAAGGGGAAGGAGAAAGAAAAGGGAAAAAAGATGTCTATTTTTTGCAAAAATAATGTACATATTTTTAAGGAACTGAGTATAGTTTTTTTTTATTGGAGGATTAATATCCGACTTACTCCCCTAAAAAAAATGACGGAAAAAACGCGCACACAAGACTCTCTTAAACATGGTCAAAGTATGTGTATTGGTGTGTGCGTTGAGTGTAAGTGACATGCTTGGACTCTTGTGTAAGACCATGGGACTTAGTGCCTAAACTCGATTATTGACTCAATTAAATACTATTGACAGCAAAATTAATCGAATTAAACAGAAGACTGATTAATTAGACCCTAGGTGATGACTCGACAATTAATCCGAACTGTCGGCCAAGCAACAGGACTGGCGTCGCACTTTGGAGCTTGGCGCCAGACGACAGAGGTGTCGTCAGGCGCTACACTCCATAATGTGGCGCTACAGCTCAGACCTTTGCGCCAGTATTGGAGCTTCGGTCTAGGACTGTTTTCGGTGTTATTAGTCAATCGGGGTATGCCTAAAGTCGTACTAGGTCAATTCCGATTAAAATATTAGACTTTATTGACTCAAATTAATTAATTAATTAGGCAAAGTTATTTAAGTCATTAATTTTTTTAGTCTCAACACAAGTCAACAAACAGTTAAGAGAAACATAGAATATATATGCACAACAAATAATGCACAATTAGTCAAGTAGGCACAATATGATGCAATGCGTTTGCAACCTAACCATGGCTCTAGTTCTCTAAAGTTCGGGATATGGTTTAGTCAAAAAGGGTCCATGGTTAATTGTCCGAATGCACCGCGCGGAAGCCTAACCGTGAAGGGTTGGTGCGAGTGGATGGGAAACCGCGAGTTTTAGAAAAAACTCGCTTCCATGGTTTGGTGAATTCAACATCTCGGATGTACCCTTTGTTGCACGGAGCGTTCAATCGGGTAGATGGAGCATGAATTCCCAGAGGGTTATGTCCATATGTAGAACACATATGGGTTTGAGAAAAGTGAGAAAAAATTCAATCAGGAAGTAGGATCGAGCAAACAATACAAAAAACCGGTCGAAATTAGAACGCATATTTCTGGCTCGGTATTGGGGGAAATTTGCGCCAGGAATCAGAGACTGGCGCAAGATTTTAACTGTAGCGCCTGGCGCCAATACTGGCGTCTAGCGCTACGACTAAAACACTGGCGCCAAGCTCTGGCCCCTGACGCTACTTCCCACATGCCTCAGCAGCTTTGTGTGCTCGATAAAATTTTCCAGTTTCGCGCGGTGTTATTTTTGTCCTAGTTGTGGAAGATATTTCTCAAATTTCCTACGTGTAAAATCCTATGTTTTTAACTCATTACGGATGGTCTTTCTAATGAGATCTTTTTTATGCATATGAAAATAATGTTAATCAAAATTACGCACATGAAATACTTAGAAAGTTTCGAGTCTCATCCACTCATTCTAAATCATTGCCGAAACAAATTCCGGAATTAAAATAGAAATCCTCCCCAGTGGAGTCGCCAAAAACAGTAGGGAATAAATTTCAAGCGTTAATACCACTAGCTTGAACCCCACTGTGATCATACACTAAAGTACGGTGGCGTCCAAAAGGGAAGAAGATAGAGCAAAGAGTCGCCAATAAGTTTTTTAGGAACTTGTAAACCGTTCACAGGGTGAAGGTTACACCCCTTAACGATCCAAGAGATCGTCAACTCCATAAGGTCTAGAACCAAATAAGGGTTCGGGGATGAAGGTACAAATCCAACCTAAAAGAGATTGAGCCTGCCCTAATAATAGGCCTCTACTTTATTCTGATCGTATTCATGTGCGCTTTCTGATTAACATGCAATCAATAGGATTACCCTAAACCTGTTTAATCTATGTTGGTTGAATTTAATGCACAAATAAAACTATTATTGGAGATAACTTGAATTATAATCATATTAACCCTAAAAAGATTATTAAATATCTTATTGAACGTGATTACAATTACCAATTCCCTTTAAACACGCATAAAGGATGTGATCAAGCAATAACAAAATAAAATATGTATCAAGCAACATAATAATAAAATAAATATAAATCATGATCATAAAATTATAACAATGAAATAATCATCATAATAACAATCATATTAACCATAATAATAATCATGAATCATCTTAAAGCATAATAAAAATAGCAAGATCCTAGGCATGATACTAACAAGATTAAATATTAGGAAGAAAATAGGAAGCATCGTAACAATCATATTTAATTTTAAAATTACCCTAGACATGATACTAGGAATATCATAATAACAATATAAACATGATGTCTACATCATAACATTTATAAATCAATTAAAGTACTTACTTTGATGCTTCGTACCTCTTTCTAATAACAAAATACACACGTTAGTAACTTCAAGGAAAATAATAAAACAAAACAATTAAATTAAATAATTGAAATAGAGATTTGGGACCAAACCCTCACAAATTAAAACCTTTCACGTCTAGGGCGAAGACAACTTCGAATATGGCTAGGTGTTTCTAGATCTTGTGAATGCGGAATTTTGTACGTGAAAAACAAAGTTTAGAAGAAAGAAAGAAAGAGATGAATGAATTAAAGAATGCTAAAGAATTAATGATTGTAGATGAAAACTTGTGTATGAGGAGAATCGGTGAATGATATATGTAGATGATTCAATGAAAACGGAGTTTTTAATACGATATTTATAGAGAAAATCAGCCAAAAAGATAAATTAAACAAAACAGATTCTGACGCATAAAAAACAGAGCTGGCGCCAACCCTGGCTAGCTGGTTCCAGGCACCAACACTAGCGCCAGGCGCCAATGGCTAGCGCTAGGCGCCAGTCCTGGTTCCAGGCGCCAAGGCCTGGGGTTAGGCGCCAAGCCTAATTTTAACGCGTTTTCGAAAATCAGATAAGTTTGCCGTACTGGACGATAAAATCATATAATTTCCTCAAAAATGATATTTGATTTTAATTAAAACTCTGAAAAGTCGAAAGTCAATTTATCAACGCTAATTGAATTAGGAATGAAAAGAACCTTCTAGAAGATTCTAGAAGACTAAAACCATTCCTAGTTGCATTAGGAATGATAAATCATATTAGGCCCTCCCCTAGATCATTGGGCCGCATATAAAGCTCAAACCGGGCCCAGTTTAATAAATTGGCCATAACTTCCTCAATATTCATCGGAATTGGGCTTATAATATATCGTTGGAAATCTCTTGTCAAGCCCCATCTAACTACACTACTATTGGACCCATATCATGGACCAACCAAACTGGATTGGCTGTTTTCTTAAAATAAGTTTTCAAAAACAGAGAGAAGAAGAAAGAATTAAAACTTTCCGCAACACTAGACTTTCCACACTTTCACTTCATTCGATTATGATTCGACGTGAAAGGTACTCATCACCGGGTTTGGTTTTGGGGAGACACAAATGGGTGTCTACAGTATGCGATCACCCTTCCATTCTGCTGTAGGACACATCCCAGACCATGCTTCGAGGCATCACTATACACTTCGAATCCTTCTATCCCATCAGGTAATACCAGCATTGGTGCAGTGGTCAATCGCTCTTTGAGGGTATGAAAAGATGACTCACAACTCTCGTTCCACTCAAACTTGCTCTGCTTCTTCATAAGAGTAGTCATGGGTCTGGCTGTCCTCGAAAAATCCTTGACAAACCTTCTATAATATCCAGCTAATCCCAAAAACTACGAACATCAGTCACATTCTTAGGTGTAGGCCACTCACTCACCGCCTTGATCTTCACAAGATCTACTGATACACCCTCCATCGAAATATAATGCCCCAAAAATGCAACTTTCTCCAACCAGAACTCACACTTGGAAAACTTAGCATACAACTTGTTCTTTCTAAGAGTTTCAAGGGTAGTTCTCAAGTGCTCAACATGTTCTTCCTCATTCTTCAAATGCACCAAAATGTCATCAATAAACACAACTACAAACTTATCCAAATACTCATGAAACACTCGGTTCATCAAGTCCATAAATATGGCTGGTGCATTGGTTAAACCAAAAGGCATGACTGTAAATTCGTAATGTCCATACCTAGTTCTAAAGGCTGTTTTTGGAATGTCTTTATCTGCAACCTTCAACTGATGATACCCCGACCTCTAGTCAATCTTTGAAAACACGCTTGCCCCCTTCAGTTGGTCAAACAAGTCATCTATCCTAGGTAGAGGGTACTTATTCTTTACAGTCACATTATTCAACTCTCTATAATCAATACATAGCCTCAAACATCCATCCTTCTTTTTCACAAATAGCACAGGTGCTCCCCAAGGTGATGCACTGGGCCTAATGAACCCCTTGTCTAACAACTCCTGCAATTGAGCCTTTAGTTCACTCATATCAGCCGGTGACATTCTATACGGTGCTTTAGAGATAGGTGCAGCTCCTGGAACTAAGTAAATGGTAAACTCAACTTCCCTCTTAGGTGGAATTCCCAAAATCTCTTCTGGAAAGACATCTAAAAACTCATTCACAATGGGCACATCCTCCATCCGCCTATTCTCACTTATATCAAATCTTGAACACAACAAAAGTACAATGGACATCCCTTATTCACTAGCTTCTTCACTTTCATAGCAGAAATGATCCCAAAACCTTTAGGCTTCCTTAACCGTCTATAGGACGCTTTCTTACCCAAAGGATCATTCACTTGCACCCTCTACATCTCACAGTCTATCTTAGCCTTGTATAAACTCAGCCAATCCATCCCCAGAATTACATCTAAGTCTCCTAGGTTAAACTCAATAAGGCCTGATGGAAAGATAGCTTCTCCTATTTTCAAAGGCAAGCCTATGAATATTTTATTACAATGAACAAGTTTGCCCGTAGGCAGACTGACTGACACATCAACATGACTCGATTCAGTTAAGTTTAACTTGCGCACAACAGATGTAGAAATGAAAGAATAAGCTGCTCCAGAGTCAAATAGAGTATTGACAAAGATAGATTAAATAGAAAAAGTACCAGTAACTACATCCGAGGACCTCTCAGCTTCTCCCTTGCTCATCACAGACAAGCGGCCGGGAGTGTTGTTTCTTGCCTGATACCCATTGTTGTTGTTGCCTGAGCTGTTGCTGTTGCCATTGCCATTGCCAGACGTGTTGTTATTGTTGCTACCATTCCCAAACTTCCCATTTTGACCATTTCCCCTATTCCCCTGGTTGTTAAAATTGTTAGGCCTTTGCTGGGTGTTCCCACCATTCCCACCATTTCCCTGTTGTTTCTGTTTGGTGTAACACTCATACTCCCTGTGTCCCCTTTTGTTGCAGAACCTGCAGGTCACCAAATTCCCATCACAGTCTCTCCCAGGATGGTTCCTTCTACACTTCTTACAGTGGTAGGTTCTCTCTCCATTGCTAGGATTGGAAGAACTGCTAACATTCTGGTTACCCCTATCAAACGAGTTCCCATTCTTAGACCTCTTAAAATTACCCTGGTTCTCAGATTTCCCAAAATCCTTCCTTTTCTCCCCAGCTTTAGCACTCGCACTAGCAGTCCTAGTATTCAGATGGTACACATGGGAAGCTCTCTCATACACCTTGTCAAGGGTTTTGAAAACTTTTCCGGCTAGGTCCTTCTATAACTCGTCAGTCAATCCCGGCTCAAACCTCTGAGCCTTCAGCTCTTTAGTTGGTACTACCTCAGGAGCAAACCTAGAAAGGGTCATAAACTTATTATAGTACTCAGAGATTGACATGTCTCCCATTGCCAGGCTTATAAACTCCCGAGCCTTCTGTTTCTTAAGGAATGGGGGGTAAAACTTGCCCCTCAAGGAGGTCTTAAAAACTTCCCACCCAAAGCTAGGTTTGGCCCTAACGGTCACAGCATTGTCTTTCCACCAGATATCAGCCTCGTCCTTAAGGTACATAGCGGCCTGGTCCACTTTCATACCCTCAGGACAGTTGAGTGCCACGAACAGCTTATCAAACTCTCGAATCCAGTTTTCTAGGAAAGTAGGGTCAGCAACTCCCCTAAAAATTGGTGGTCTAACCTGGGCCAGCTTCTCAAACATTTCATCTTGGGGGTCGACTTGGTCTCCCCGGTTTTGGATCACATTTTCAGCCAACAAACGAATAGCATCAGCTAAGGCAGCGTTCTCAGCCATTCTAGCTCTACGCCTGAAATAAAATAAATATGCACTCCATTTTAAACGAAACCCAAATACTATTCACACATATTCATTGAATCACAATATTAAATTTGTCAAATAAATTGGTTCAAAAGGGTACCTTGAGATTGCACCCCCTTGTCCCAAGCAAAACCACACAATAAGAGCACGATTCATACGCAGGATAAAATGAAGTTAAGAAAATAATTTCCCCATCCCGCGACACTCTTATTAAGTTTGACCATAGATAAAGAAATTTTCCCCAAGAAGTATATGATTACAAAAATTAAACTTGCTCTTGCTCACAAATAAAAGTGAAATGAAGCTCTTAAAAAAATAAAATATTAACTTCTTATTATAGCTCATATAAAGGTATCAATCTGTAGGGGAATAATTTCAAGCCTTTAATCCCACTAGCTTGAACCCCACTGTGATCATACACTAAAGTACGGTGGCGTCTAAAAGGGAAGAAGATAGAGCAAAAGAGTCGCCAACAAGTTTTTTAGGAACTTGTAAACCGTTCACGAGGAGAAGGTTACACCCCTTAACGATCCAAGAGATCGTCAACTCCATAAGGTCTAGAACCAAATAAGGGTTCGGGGATGAAGGTACAAATCCAACCTAAAAGAGATTGAATCTGCCCTAATAATAGGCCTCTACTTTATTCTGATCGTATCCATGTGCGCTTTCTAATTAACATGCAATCAATAGGATTAACCCTAAACCTGTTTATCTATGTTGGTTGAATTTAATGCACAAATAAATTAATATTGGCGATCACTTGAATTATAATCACAGTTAACCCTAAACAAGATTATTAATTATCTTATTAAGCGTGATGACAAGTACCAAATTCCCTTTAAACATGCATAAAAGGCGATCAAGCAATAAATATAAATCAAGCAACATAATAATCAAAGTATAAAATATAATCATGATCATAAAATTGTAATAATGAAATAATCATCATAATAACAATCATATTAACCATAATAATAATCATGTTAATACTAAAGCATAATAATAGCAAGATCCTAGGCATGATACTAACAAGATTAATAACAAACCCTAGCATGTCACTAAGCAATAAAAATCAAGTCTTTAACCCTAACATGATACTAACAATCATAAATACTAGGAAGAACATAGGAAGCATCACAGGAATCATATTTAATATTAAAATTACCCTAGACATGATACTAGGAATATCATAATAACAATATAAACATGATTTCTACATCATAAAATCAATAAATCAATTAAAACACTTACTTTGATGCCTCGTACCTCTTTCTAATAACAAAATACACGCGTTAGTAACTTCAAGGAAAATAATAATAAAAAAAATTAAATTAAATAATTGAAAGAGAGATTTGGGACCAAACCCTCAGAAATTAAACCTTTCACGTCTAGGGCGAAGGCAACTTCGAATATGGCTAGGTGTTTCTAGATCCTGTGAATGCGGAATTTTGTATGAAAAGCAAAATTTTGAAGAAAGAATTGAAAGATTAAAGAATGCTTATTAAAACTGATTGTAGATGAATGTAGATGTAGATGATCGTGAGAATTGGTGAATGAATGTAGATGATGATAATTCGTGATGAATGGTGAGAATTCGTGAATGAAAACGGAGTTTTTAATACGATATTTATAGAGAAAATCAGGTAAAAAAGATAAATTAACAAAACAGAGTCTGACGCTCAGGAAACAGAGCTGGCGCCAACCCTGGCAAGCTGGCGCCAGGCACCAGCACTAGCGCCAGGCGCCAAGCCTGGTTCCAGGCGCCAAGGCCTGGGGTTGGACGCCAAGCTTGATTTCAACGCGTTTTCTAAAATCCGATAAGTTTACCGTACTGGAGGATAAAATAATATAATTTTTTCGAAAATGCTATTTGATCTTGAATAAAACTCTGAAAAGTCAACAAAGTCAACTTATCAATGCTAATTGAATTAGGAATGAAAAGAACCTTCTAGAAGAATCTAGAAGACTAAAACCATTCCTAATTGTATTAGGAATGATAAATCATATTAGGCCCTCCCCAAGATCATTGGGCCGTACATAAATCTCAAACCGGACCCAGTTTAGTAAATTGGCCATAACTTCCTCAATATTCATCGGAATTGGGCTTATAATATATCGTTGGAAAGGTCTTTGCAAGCCTCATCCAACTACACTACCATTGGACTCATATCATGGAATAACCAAACTGGATTGGCTGTTTTCTCAAAATAAAGTTTTCAAAAACAGAAAGAAGAGAAAAGAAAATAAAAACTTTCCGCAACACTAAACCTTTCCACACTTTCGTTTCATTCGATTATGATTCGACGTGAAAGGTACTCATCACTGGTTTTGGTTTTGGGGAGACACAAATGGGTGTCTACAGAAGACCCCACTTTGACTGAGTCTGGAGAAACGTAAGTTTCGAAAACAAAAGTCAAAGTATCGATAGGGACGGAGAATGATTCAGAACGTTCTGCGATCCTAAATCAATCTTGTAACGCCGATACCTGCAAAACTAGCATTATTTAAACAGATAAAAGAGTTAAGAAACGCGTATCTTGCACCGTCGAGCACACGTTTCTAAAAGTAATCGATTTGCTGCCGCTGTTTTGATGACCTCCTACAAGCTAGAGAATGCCATCCCGCTTGAAAACTGCTACGCCCGTAATTGCTTCCAAATTAGAAGACTGCTTCGCCTGAAACGATCCTCCTCCGTAATGATAATATTTCACATCCAAGGAAATACCACCGAAGATTGCTTCTCTTGAAAAAATCCTCATCCGCATTGATAATATTCCACGTCCAAGGGAATACTATCGAAGATTATTTCTCTTGAAACAATCTCCATCCGCATTGATAATATTCCACATCCTAGGGAATACCATCGAAGATAACTTCGCCCAAAGTTACCTCCAGTTATTTGTGACAACTTTCCACAAGCTAGGGAATGCCACCTTGCTGCTTTGACGTTCTGAACAAAGAGCTTCTTATTCCCGCTGTGATAGTCTTCGAAAAGATCACTGCTTTTTAATGTTGCTATTCTAGTACGTTGGCGCTTTGCTGCTTGTAAACCAGTATGTCGGCGCTTTTGCTGTGATAACAATCCTCTTTTCTTTGGGAATAGTTGCCAACACAACTCTTGTATGATGTATGACAATCCGATTTAGGGAAAGTTGTCAATGCTTCGTAACAATCCATCCTTGGAAATGTTGCCACGATGAAGCGACAATCCATATCTCGGAAAATTTGCCAAAATCCAATCTTTGGAAAAGTTGCCAGTGCTTCGTAACAATCTTTCATAAGAACTTTGCTACGATCGACAATCCATGTCTTCTAATATAACTCTTAAAGGCATTTCACCTTGGAAATTTGCCAATGTTATGCGATAATCTTTTGGGGAAATATTGCCACTATTGACAATCCGCGTCTTGGAACATTTTGCAAAAAAGAGTCGACCGACAATCCTCTTCGGGAAAATTTTCCACTTATTGAAATGAATGACAATCCACGTTGGGGAACTTTGCCGAAATTTATGATGAATAGAGACCTACGAAAATCCTTTGGGAAATTTTGCCATAGGGAACTGGATGTATGACAATCCAATCTCGGAAAACTTGTCAGCGATCTATGAATGTATGACAATCCGAACTTTGGAAAAACTTGCCAATAAAGAAGGAGCACGACAATCCACGCTTGGAAACCTTGCCAGAGATGACAATCCAATCTTGGAAAAATTGTCGTTGAAGAAGATGCACGATAATCCATTTTTGGAAATATTGTCAGTTGGGGATGAAAATCCAATTTTTGGAAAACTTTGTCGTTTAATAAGAATGCGCGACAATCCATATTTGGAAATATTATCGTTTAAGTGCTTGCTTTTGAACCGATGCTTTGGTGCTTGTAATGAGCCAATACTTAGGCACTTAAGCTAAGTGAGACGATCTTTCATCAGGTCAATCACTTATTGCGATTGTAATCAAACTGACTACTTAATCATGTCAAATTACTTATAGGGGCTAACTGGCGTACCAAGGAACCTGAAATTATGAGGTCGAAATCACCTTTCTGGGAGGCTTCGAGCTCTGTCGTTGTTGAGATATCTCTGGCGCCAAGAATTGGAGTAGGGTCTTCCCTATTCTACTGCACCTGTATTTATTTTTGACTATAGAACTTTGCCAATTTCTTTAATTATATTAGGGTTGACCTAAGGCTTAATGTTGCTTGACTCATCGACTTGACACGACTCAAGGTATAGAATTGACTCGATATGTTTGACCGACTCGAGGTTGACTCGACTCGAAGTGTAATGACACATGTGTTAGACTCAAATCACAGTGATATGACACGACATGACATGATGTGTACATGACTCGTGTGTGCATTGTAATGTGATCGTGCGACTCGAAAAATGAAAAAAAGCAAAAAATTTCCGTCAATTTTGTGGAGGGTTCCGAATTTCTCCCGAAAAAGAAAGACGTGAAAAAGAATCGAAGTTTGAAGATGCATGTTGGATGAGCTTAGTCAAATGTCATTTGATACTATCTCTCAAGGTGCAAGGATTAACCCATCCTAGGCTATCTCAACTGTTGACTCCATGATGAAAGTATTTGGGTAACTTAGGCACGGAGGCTAAGTACTTCATACTTCGATGCAATGATGATTATGATTGATGAGTGATGTTGATATGACAAGGCATGCTTCAATGTTATGTTAATATTTCATGACAAAGGGTTCCTAAGGGAAGTATATTTGGTCATGTATCTATGCAGTGTGTGATAGTGACACTAAAGTTAGGCCGCAAGAGCTAAGTGTGTGGAAAAATATATTATTGAAAAGAGTCAAATGGTGGTGACTCTTAGGCTAGGTAAGCTAATGATGTAGGGATCAAGCCCCCAAGTCTATCTCTAAATGAATAGGGATGAGCACAGGGGATCCCTTGATATGATCATGGTGCAAGTGTGTGAATGTGAATATGAATGCATGTTTATTACGGCCGC